TGACTTCGCTATTGAGCACCGCAAGGGAAGTGTCCACGGTAATGCTGATGCCATGTCCCGCCGACCATGTAGCCTGGAATGTAAACACTGCTCAAAAGCTGAGGGAAAAGAGGACATTATAGACGTCCGTCTAACGAAAATAACACCAGCAGAAGAGTGGAAGGAAGAACAGCTACGAAAGTGTCAGCAGGAAGATCCAGATCTGGAGCTTTTGAGGCATGGATTGGAGGTGGACAGGAAGCCAACTAAGGAGCAAATGGCAGCGGAAAGCCCCATCGCAAAGGCGTACTGGGCACAATGGAACAGCTTAAAATTAATATCTGGCTGTTTGCATAGGGTATGGGAAAGCGAAGATGGCCAGTGCTCCCGCAACCTGATAGTAGTTCCAAGGGTAAGAATTCCGGATGTACTCAAGGAATTCCACAATGGTAGGACCACTGGGAGGTCACCTGGGAATCACGAAGACCCTGGAGAAGGTTAAGCAGAGGTTCTATTGGGTTGGTTGTCGGCAATCGGTCGCAGAGTGGATTGCTAACTGCGCGGAGTGTATTGCAGCTAAGGGGCCGAAATCCAGAAGTCATGGCCAGATGAAGCAATATAACTCAGGTGCACCTTTCGAGCGGATTGCCATGGATGTAGCCGTTCCATTTCCTATGAGCGTACAGGGAAACAAATACGTCCTTGTGGTTATGGACTACTTTAGCAAATAGCCGGAGGTATACCCGATTCCAAACCAGGAAGCTAAAACAGTAGCGGAGGTATTCACCTACAATTGGGTTGCGAGATACGGTGTACCTATAGAGCTGCACTCTGAGTCGGCGATGTTCCAAGAGATGTGCCAGATACTGGGTATCCGGAAAACTCGAACGACGGCTCTTCATCCCCAATCAGACGGCATGGTGGAGCGGTTCAACCGAACCCTGGAAGAGCATTTGCGGAAGGTCGTGGACAAGAATCAAAAAGATTGGGATGTCCGCATACCCTTGTTCCTGATGGGATACCGGTCAGCAGTGCAAGAAACAACGGGTAAAACTCCTGCAAGGGTAATATTCGGCAGTGAGCTCCGTTTGCCTAGTGATCTGAAGTTTGGGGTGACTGGTGATGCTAGAAGGATTGGAAAAGAGACGTCAAACATCCTGGAAGAGGAGCTGAGAGAGATACATGCTCTTGTGAGACAGCGCACACAAATTATGAGTGACAAGATGAAAGCCAGGTATGATAAGGCGATGAATTCCGAGGGTTTCCAGGAAGGAGATTTGGTGTTGCTGTACAATCCACAACGAAAGAAAGGTTTGTCCCCAAAACTACAATGCAACTGGGAAGGTCCGTATAAGGTCGTAAAACGGCTAAATGACGTAGTGTATCGGATCCAGACCGTTGGGAGACCAAGAAACAAGATGAAGGTGGTCCACTTGGAAAGGCTTGTTGCAGCGTTTGGAACCGCAAGTGTGTCTGATCGGGACGATCAGACTTAGGTGGAGGGCAGTGTGGCGAATACTGCGGCAACACAAAGCGAACAACGAGAAAGAGGCAGAATGTTCGAAGAATGACATAGAATGTTCCACAAAGAGAAACGTCAAGTTGGATGAACACTGCGAACAGCGAGAGAAAGAGAATGAGCGATAAACTTCAGAATGTTCTAGAGTTGCCATAAGTGCCAGCGCAGGTATATAAGGGCGCCGCCACCGCGAGGTGAGTTTGTTACAAGTCAGCAAGCTACAAGTAAAGTGAGCGGAGAATTGAGTTGCGAATAAGCAAGCTATAAGTTTAATTGTGTTAACAAGTAGTAAAGCGTTGTTATTGCTTTAACAAGTATTGTAAAGTGTTTTTACTGTATTAGCAAGTATTGTAAATTGTTTGTTGTAAAGTTAATTGTACTACAATTTGGTCATCGTTACCATATATTTAACAATTCAGCGATACGAGCCCGTGTATGTTTGGGAAATCCCTCAAGGTTTCGAGGATAATCGTAACAATATGTATATGTATGTATATACATATATATATATACATATACTTACATAACTATGTATTTTTGAAATTCAAAAGTATTTTTATTGAACAGTTTTTACGGCCCACTGTATTTTTAAGCGGATATGTTAAGCTTTTTATGATATGACCTTTCCCCAGTCTATAACTGAATGTCAAGTAAGTCCAACGAACGAACTAGTCTCCGTTCACAGAATTCTGGAGATACCAACAACTTTGTTCTAGGACCATAAATGCCTGCCTCGCTAACTTCTGGGGTCTTCGAGATATCTAATATGTACCAATGCAGAGTATCGATCTGAAGGTATACATCTAAGATTAAGTAGCATCTAAAAAGTAGCACTAGTTAGGACTCAGATTCCAGTTTCTCCATATTGTGGGGTGAATTGACCTTTGCATCGCAAACAATTTCTGTGGAAAAATCGTATAGAGTTTTTTTTTTGGTTGAGTTCACTCTCTGCAAATCCCTGCCGCGGCAGGGTGGTGGTGTCACTACAAACACATACGACATTCACGAGGTGAGAGTCTGTGAAGGTGGTAATAGGCCCACTACGAATGTCATTGTTGGCTTGCCGGCACATCGCATCTTCGGAGATTTCATTGAGATGCCTCCTGACGTGCCTGGGAGGAGGTTCTGTTTATTGTTTACTAACAATTGAGACTGTGTGCGCAGAGAAGAGAGCAAGCTGTAAAAGGTAGCACCTAAAGTCGTTAGCGTATGAGATCAATAAACTGAAACAGGTCGAGGACATCATACTGTGGTAAACCCTGCCTATTTTTTCTCGGTTTTTAAGTTTATAGGCTAAGAAAGTTGAAAGTCCTTTGCCAATTTTCATGGTAAAAAGCTCTTCTGAAAGAGAGCATGTTCCCAATGGAAATGCACATATCGTCCTTTAAAGTACAAAACCGCGTATCATCACTCTGCAAAACCGCGTAACTGACATTTGCTGCCAAAAACTGGATTTGCTTACATAAGCTCTTGGCTCAATCCTTATTCATACATCCTGAAATATACTAGCCAGAAATGCGATTACTTTATCAAAAAGGGAACCATTTTGGATAATGAGTGTTTTTTTTTCTCTAGAAAATAATTTATGCAACCTCACATATGTACGTGGTTTTGCATTTTGTTGATACGCAGTTTTGTACTTTAAACGACGATATGTACACCATTTTGATCCAACAACCGCAATGACTGAGTGTGCAAAGCACTGACGTGCCATTCGAGAGATTCCAGGTTGAAATCCTTGACCAGCGGTTTTTTTTAAATTTACTTTTTTTAATTTAATTTTATCGTTTAAAAAATTAAAAAATAATTTTTTTTTATTTCATTAAATTTTTAGACACTTATGTTATGTATTTTCTCCTCTGTTAATTTTTATTTTCCTTTTTAATGTAATTAATCAATAATCTTTTAATTTTTAGATTTTAATATTTTAAAAAGAAATTTTTTTAATTTAGTTTAATTTTACGATTTTGTTGTTTTGAAAAGAAAAAAATATTTTTAAAATTTCATTTAATTTGTAGAAACTTATTTAATTTTTGTTTGTTTATGCGGTTTTCAGTTTTCTAATTTAATTTAATTTTAAGACACTTATTTTGTGTATTTTTTCTTTTTTATAAGTTTTTTTAAATACAATTAATTTTCTCTTAATTTATAAAATTTTTGTGTTTTAAAAAGAAACGTTTTTTTTTTTAATTCCATCTAATTATTAGAAACTTATTTAATTTTGTCCCTTTTTTCATTCATTTTTTGTTTCTTTTTCTAATTTAATTTTCTTTAAATTTTTAGACGTGTTTGTTTTAAAAAGAGAAATATTTTCTTCTATTTCATTTAACTTTTAGCATCTTATAATTTTTTATTATTTTTTTTTAATTCATATATTTTTGGCTTTTTAAGTAAACTTTTCTTTTAATTTTTATATTTTACTGTTTTAAAGAGGAAAAAATATATATTTTTTTATTTAATTTAACTTTTAGAAACTTATTTATTTTGTTTCTTTTTCTTTTACTTTTTTTGTTTCTTTTTCTAATTTAATTTTTTTTAATTTAAATTTTTTTAAGGAAATATTTTTCTTTAATTTCATTTAATTTTAAGAAACTTACATTTTTTTTAAATCAATGTTTTTTAATTAATGTATTTTTTATTTTTTAAATTAAATTTTCTGTTAGTTTTTAGATTTTATGGTTTTAAAAAGATTTTTTTAATTTCATTTAATTTTTAGAAAATTTATTCGTAAAAGACAAACAGAATATGGCTAAGACCTCCTCGTTAGTAAATCATTCAATAAGTTTATCGAAAGACAAAAAGAGCTTCCGAGAAAGTTGCCAGAATTGCCATTTTAATCCGAAATTTTGTTTCCGATTGACGACCACCGAGATGGTTCATCGTTTGAGTCCCTCTGGAAGAGAAGAGTGTGGAATGACAAACGATTTTAAAAGCCTTAATAAGTCCAGCTACTAAGGCTATTCTTTCACGGGGACGGTTACTATTAAGACGCCTAGTTATCTGAGTATTTATGGCGTTAAGTGCTGTCGTGACACTGTACACTTTACGGAAGCCATGCTGATGCTTCGCAGGGGTCAGGTGGTACTTGAAGTACGAGAGTAGCAAAGCCTAAGATCGCAGTATAGAGGTTTTCGGTTTATTTCTGGGATTTTATGATGCAGGACTTAAAAACATAACGGACTTAAATGCCACCAAATATATACTAAACAGATAATTGAACAATTTAATATTAGCTTGGGTCATTCAAGCGTATACATACACATCGATTTTACCACAATTGCATATTTAAATAATCGTTTATGTAATTTTTTCCATTGTCCAAATACATACATCATTTCAGGTATCAAGCACCCTAGGACTTAACTTAAACAACTATGCAAAATCATGCCAGCTAAGCGTACTACTTTTTTTATATGCACATATTTTTTCACATACATAAATTTCATATAAGTTTTAAGTAATATCCTAAAGTATGCTAAATTGCACTTTTTAAAAATCTTACCTAAAAATGTGGCGCTGGGTGAGTTGTACGCCAGATACTCCTTATTTGAAGCCCAGGCGGGAAACTCGTTTTGTTGCACAGCATCTGACAACTCATCACCCTGTCGCTTCCAGGGTAGCTGCGACTCGGTGGCTGTGGGTGTTGCCACTCGTCGTTCACCATCTGAATCACGAGAGATATTGTGATCTTCCTCAGGTATGGGATTTTCAGCAACTATTTTAAAGAAGTTTTGTAAAATGTAATTAAATTTTGAAATTTACACTATGAACTCTTTTTTTTCTGACTAAGGTGGCTAAGCATACAAATACAGATACATATTTGGTAAATTAGGTAAGCTTATTGAATTAAGGCGGAGGAAGGCTGTGCGCATGCAAGATGGGCGACAAGAGGCCGATTTCAATGTTTGTTTTTGTACATAGTTAAAATGTTGAGTAGCAAATTGTAGTTGTGGATCTCTTGTAACCCATCAATGAAATGTTAGTGTGTAGTTGCAGGTAGTTAACTTTGACATAATTGCAAAGCAAAGTAAAACGTTTGGGAATATTTTGTAAATAAATTAATTCAAAACCCAAAAACATAAGTTTAAAATAGCTTAAAACATAGACATGCACAAAAATGCTATGCTCGCAATAATCGATGTGTTTCGTATTTTATTGGTTAAAACCGATAGGGCTCTATTCAGGTGTATGTATGCAAATGAAATTTGTAAATTAAATTTTCTTTCATTGAAAGTAGGGCTGTGCGATTATTCGATTACTCGAGCAAGTTGGTTAATCAATTATTCGGTTAATCAATTACTCGAGTAATCAAGATTTTGATTACTCAAAACGATGATTAATCGAGTTACTTGAAATATGATTACTCAAAAAAAATAATTTTGCTCGTTAACAGAGTTTGCTTTGGAAAATGCTTATTTTCTTTTTTACATTCTGTATATGAAAAAAATTGTTTGCTTTCATTTTTGAAAACAGAAACGTTGTTTTCAAAGTATCAAGGAACTTTAACTACTTTATACATATGTAAAGAGTTGAAATCTTGATTACTCATTTTACTCGAAATGTTGATTAATCATAAAGCAAATTACTCAAATATTTTTGTTTTTGGTTAATCAAAAATCTTGATTACTCGAGTAACTGAACTTTTGAGTAATCATAATTTCCAATTAATCGAATAATTGAGTTATTTAATTTATGATTAATTAAAATTTTGAGTAATCAATTAATCGCACAGCCCTAATTGAAAGTAAAAAAACTCATAATAAGTCACAAAATTTTGGTGTATGCTTGAGATTTTTTGGATTTATAAATGTTTATATAATGCATTTCATAAAATTTGGCAACACTGATTTATGCTTTTCTTCTAATGTAATTATTCATGTCTCAAAACTGGAATGCACGACTATTTATGTTTAGTATGGCAACAATGAAGGTTAGGTGGAGGAGTCGGGTTGTAAAATGCGGAACCGAAAAAAAATGCTTCCTACAGCATTTAGCTAATATAGTGGTGATTTTGTGTTATTTAAAGCCAATAACGGCTTATGGTTTTACATCTCAAAGATTTTAGTCTTCTTCGTTTGTCTCGAATTCGGATAGATCCACTTTTTTTTTTAAATGGATCTCAATTATTAAAAAAAAGCCTTGAAATTTTTGTTGACTCAAAACAAAAGACTTAAGCAACAAACCTGCAGACTAAACTACATGCATTTGCACTATATAACATGGCATTGATTATCAAACAACGCTTGGATTTAAAACACACAAAAATGAACCAACCATACAGCTGGATGCCTTAATGGATGGCAGTTAAAATGATGGACCTAACAAAGTGCATACGCACATACATAGTGATGCCGCTAAATACCTACTAATTTTTCTGGAAAAAAAAAATGCAATTGGAAAAATAGGCTTATTGGTGTGGGAAGTTATGAACAAAGTAAAATCTAAGGCACTAAATATGAGTAAATTTTAAATAATTATTCAAGCGATATATGAATTTGCTCGTATGAAAGCACTACTTTAAAGACCCATTGATTTTCACATAATAACTATTCTAAAATAGCCGCTAGTTATTATATACTGTTTAATTTATTTTTACAATTAAAATATGATATTTTTTATCATGCCCAATGGCAAAAAGTTATAAAATTAAAGTGGATGACTTGAACTTCTATTAATTAGCTGTATACCAGGGGAAAGCAATTTTGATACATGTGTTTAGAAAAGCACAAAAATTAAGTATTTAAGTCGAGTTTCCACTGGCATTTAAATTTAAAAAAATTTCGAAACATTTTATATCACTAAAGAAATGGCGTTTATTAATAAATTTCGTTTTCAGCTTGTCATTCAAGTTTTTTCTCATTTAATGCACAGTGGAAATAAGGCATTAGTAACTGAACAATACTGTAATAAATTAAACAAGAGCTTTAACCAATAATTGTAAATTGTTTTTGCGCAACAAATTTAGTAAGTGTGCCTTTTTTTTGGAAATATGTATTTGCCAATCCAAGATAAACCGACCAATGGTCGTAATCAACGATTTTGGATTTGGATAAATTTTCATCAGTACTTTTTTAACATATAACAAATTTCTACCAAAGAAAAAAAAAATTCGAAAGTTCAAGATTTCACAATTTCCCGGATTTTGGAAGTTTATATTTGAATATCTGAGAAACTATTATAGTTACTAAAATGGCTTTGGTAATTACAGAAATTCGCCAATTTCTGAGAAAATTTAAATGGCACATAAGATTAATTTTGAATTTTTATATAAATACCATTTAACTTTCGTTAGGTTCCAGATCAACTTTTTTAAATATGTCCAACAAGTATCAACACTAGGGTGGTCCAAAATAAGTAAAGTCGAAATTTTTATGCTCTCACCCCCTAGGATTGTTTTATATCGGAAATAATCTTGCAAAATCCCGGAAATTGTAATTTAGAATTTCGCTTAACTTTCGAAAAAAATATATATATTTTTTTCCTTTGGCAGAAATTCGTTATATGATAAAAGAAAAGTTTTGGACAATATTCATCCAAATCAAAAATTGTTAACTCTAACCACCATAGGTCGATTTGACATTGATTGACCGGCATGTAGTATTTAAATTAATTATGAATGTATGTATATGTTTCTTAGCACCGGTGATGAGGAATACTAACCGCTACCGATGAGTATACATTAATGCGTGTGCAATTATTGAAATCGTTTTTTCTAAGTTCAATTTGATGGCATGATTTTCTTTTTAATTACAGCAAACATGGATTTTCTGTGTAACCATAACTAATTCCAGTAAACTCAAATATTTAGATCGCGGAAAAAACACAGATTGCTGCTAAATATTTGCGTCTAAAGCGAGAAAGTACGTTAATTGGATGAGCGTGGTTTAAATTTACAATAAAATGCACAATTAAATGAGATAAATGAACGCAAATTTGGTACTGAACGAATAAATGTTGTAGAAAAAATACAAGCCAAATAATTGGTTTTAGAACAAGAAATTTTATAGAAAAATAATTTTTTTTTTAGATTTTTATTTATTTTTTAACGCAGCCAACAACGCTAAACGCCTTAGAGCAACAGATTACACCGACGACGAGTGCAATTAGTTAATACTTAGTACATAGTTTTGGCGCATTTTTCGAAAACATTTCCATTTCTTGACATTAAATTCGCAATGACAATGATGCGCATATGTAACATCGTGTGTGAAAGCTACTACATATTTTTCTTTGTATTTGTTGTTGCTTGTGGCGGGTAAATATAATAGTACAAGTAGCTGTAGATGTTTGAAAGCCTTTACCAATGCATTGGTAGGAACGATCCCGTCGCCATGGCAATATCGATTCGGCCGCTGTCGGGCCCATATCGGGCGTTAATAATTTCTCAGGGCTGCCGTTTTCACTTTTCGGTGCGGAGTAATGTTGGACGATGCGCGCCTTTGATGCATCGAAACCGGGTAAATTCTGTATGTGTGCTATAAGGGAGTTATTATTGGCACGATCCGAGTCCGCTGCATGGTTTGGTATTTTTTTTATACATAGTTTTGTGGTGCGTATGTATTTTTAAGATCCATTGTTGTTGGGCATTTATATTGTTGGTGTATACAAACATAGTGTTTTTTTAATTTCCCCAGCAAAGTTTGTTTTTATTATTGCGTGTTTGTGTATGCATGAGTGTATATTAGAGATGTTTGTTTGTTGTTGCCAATTAGAGTTTTCATATTTACAATGGGTTTTCGAACATTTCAAATTGTTTAAGAAATTCGTTAAATTTTTTTTTTTGAGTAGCGCATGGTAGCAATTGGGACCCGTTTTTTTTTGTTTTTTTAGATGCAAATGAAAAAATATAGAGAAGTGTTCGTGAAAAAAGAATATTTTTGTTAGCTTTTTAATATATCGTTGTTGTTTTTTTATTTTAAGAACATAGTGGGAAATTAGAAAATAATAAAAAACTGCAATAAATTATATAAAAACAAACCACATCCAGATTTATGCAAAAGCAAGTAGTAAATTTTAAATCTTTTGTATTAACTATTTCACATAATTCCTTTAAATAAATTACAACCCTTCAAGACACGACTATCCAAAACTTCATAATACGTAAAGAAATTTCCTTGAAATCAACTCATATAAAAGAAAACAAGTATAAGTACAAGAAAGAAATCGATAAAGCCCTTACCGAGATAAACACATGTAAGTGGGCGGTGTCGCGCCCATTTTCCAAAAATCTATAGTAATCTTACTTCTGGTTAATAGATCATTGTAATTATTACCTTGAAGAAAATTAGCGTCGTTCGATATTGGAATAGCGTAGTTTTCGTGTTTATGACATTTACCGTTATATATAAGTGTGCTTAATTTTAGTCCGACTTCCAAAAGTTTCAATACATCACTTTTCTGCGCCAAGGGAAACAACTGTACGGAGTTTTGTAGAAATTAATCAGAGAGGTGGCACTCCCATTTTCTAAAATTTTTGATAATCTCATTTAGCCCCCACCGGACTGGGTGATGGCCAAAAGCCTTATAAACCGGCAATAAGTTCACCCGGCACTGGCATCAGTACACTGCTGCTGAAGCAGGACGTAAGCTCCTACTTCCACACCTCTTCATTTAATATTATGAGGGATAGGCTGACACAGACGCACATTCCCGATGTGTGGCAGAAGGCCCGGGCTATCTTCATCCCGCGGGCAGGCAAGATAGATTACTCGCTTGCTAAGTCATACGGGCCGATAAGTTTCACCTCCTTTATGCTGAAAGCAATGGAGCAAATCTAAAAGTCACTCAATATGCCCCTGCTAGTCTGCGGCACAGTAGCATAGACAATGAAAACGAAATAGACGAAGGCCTCGTCTGCGGTGGAAACACCAAGTGGAGAATTTAACTTGGATTAGCTTGTCATTTTCAATTGGCATCAGCTGGCACATAAGAGAAACGAGTGGCTACAGATGGGTTGGTAGAGGCGATGCTATGCAATAGTGATAAAACAAGCTATAAATCATATTGAGTGGGTTCTAATATATTTGCTCGATGAGTCGAAGGTCTATGCTACTAGCGTTCCTTATTTTTTGTAAGTCAGTGATTCATCACTTTCTTTCTATATAATAATAAATAAAATAGAAGCAGGTGTCAACTAAAAAGCGTGCGTTAAGCGATAAGGCATGTAAGGAAGGGATTATAGCAATTGATTTGTTTTTTGTATGCACTGCGATCTAGTGATCTAATTTATTCTCTACTATTCACAATGCTTCCTCCAGACCTAATAAGATCCCTCAAATATAGCAGTAATGCCTTCGGGAGTAGGTAGTGAATGTGCTCAAGATGTGGTCAAATCGAGCCTAGACTTCTATCACGTTTTCTGCATATGGCGTCACACTCGGTGAGAATATTTAGTGGTATCTCACTGGTCGAGTCGTAAAGCAAACATAGATCATTTGACCATAATACCAGTTATATGGATGGCCTCTTAGTCTGCAGTGTACAGTAAGGATACTTGTTTGTATTCTAAATTTCTTTTTTGAGCGCTTAAATAAGTTTGGGATCTCTTATTGCTGTACCCTCCCAGCAGACTTTTTGCCTGGCACAGTTCTACTAAGCCACACCAGTTTAGCTACCTTTCTAGACCTCTTCCTTTAAAGTATTGCGATCGACTTCTAGGACTGTAGTGATGGCTACAGCCGCTCTTGCGAGACAGTCGGGCATCTCACTCTACTACTATACTTTGCTGCATAACTCTATTCTAAATCTGATCTCAAAAATTACGATTATGTCTATGTCATGTCTCGTGAATAGCGCTAGAGCGAGCGAATACCCTGGCTTTTCAATGTTGCTAGGGGATATGACTTTTTCTTTTCCAAATGGATTGCCATCCTGGTGATAAGCAACTAGGAAGTGTTATTTTTCGATTTCACAACTCGTGCAACCTACAGTCATTTAGCGGCTTTAATGAATTTCAGTACGTCATACAAAGGAGGCAGCTGCTGAAATATTCTGCAGGAATGGTTTGTCGAGTATCTTTAGCCTCATCCTTGTGAGGACTGAACACTCGGGCAGGAAGTGTTCGATTATCTCTTTTGAGCTCGAGTCCTCGCAACTGCGACAGAACCGATTGAAGGGAAGTCTTTCGGCATGCACCTCAATGGGCCAGTGCCCTGTGAACACTGTAGTAAATTTGTAGGCATCTTTTTTACTCATTCCTAAGAAAGCTTTGGTTTTAAGTGGGTTGTAAGACACACAGAACTACCGGGTAGTCCTGTAAGATCCAGGGCGGTTCTATCTCTGCTTGGCCTTCGTGGCCTTCAAGTGATAAATTTCTTAATCTTCCTGAGCGAGGCACCAACGTCCACCGAGTGGGACATATTCAGTGCGGAGCCGCTCCTTGCTAGTTCATCCACTGCCTCGTTTCCGTAAATCTCCCTATGTCGACCCATATTAGGTTATTTCGTATTGATTAGAAGTCTAGGCCAGCTCTCTCAGTTATCCACTAGTTGAGATCTAACAGAGATAAAAAGAGAGCCTGAATGACCGCTTGGCTATACGAGAAGATATTCACCTGCGTTCTCGCGGGTACATTCTCTTTGATGTACCTTACTGCCTCCTTAGTTGCAAACGTTTCTGCATGGAAAACGCTGGAATAGTATGGTAGGCGATAGGATAACTGAAATAACTCGACTTTTCGTTGATTCCAGTCACTGCGGCTTGGGAATTTCGTGCGGGGTTTGTGGTGAACCTAGGTATTCGACAGGATATAGTCAATGGGCAGCGCTTAAATTTCAGGTGGTAGTGCGTCTAGGATGGAACCGTGCCCGAATGGTATTTCCTTCCAGAACCCCAGGTCATGCAGTCTGATGGCGCTGTTAGCAGCTGAGTTTTCGATAAAGATATCTATGGGTAATAAGTCAAGAAAGAGGTTCAAAACGTCCTTCGGACAGGATCTCATTGCACCTGTTACGGTAGCGGCTGCAGACCTTTGAATTCCGTTCAGCTTTTTAACTATGTAATCCTTAGTATGGGCTGGCCACCAGACCAGCGCCCCGTAAGAGATTATGGGTCGGACTATAGCTGTGAACATCTAATGCACAATTCTAGGTTTCAGCCACCGTGGTCTTCTTTGCACTCTCTTCAATGTTTGGTTTCCAGTTAATTTTGGGATCCAGAATAACTCCAAGGTATTTCATCTTGTTTGACAGATCCAGTTCCGTTCCTCAGAACCTTAGTTTAGTAAAATCAGGGTTTACGCTAAGAGAATAGTTTATGGCCCAGGAATCTACCTTCTTTAGAGTCTTTTCCATAATTTCACTTACGACCGAAAGAAACTGACCCGATACCAGTATCGCTACATGGTCGGCGTTAGCCACCGTCTTGATTCTCTAAGAGTCTAGCTTCACCAGTAGTTTCTTCAAGATCATGAGCCTTAGTAACGGTGATAGCACTCCTCCCTGTGGGGTGCCTCCCACTGCATATACGGCCCTGCTTTGGTACCCCAATCCGGCGTGTATTACTCTGTTCCTTACACTCAGTAAAAAGTCAGCCAAATATGTTTCTCTCAACACATGATTTGGTAACCATTAGAGAAAAACATATTTAGTTTAATAATTCTTTTCTCAGTGTAGCAGAGACACTAATTAATTCCGGACGCCGTGATCAATCACTGTACCCATAAGTCTTCATCAATGGAAACTATACTGACATTATTAAGTATAATCACTTGCCATTAAAAGTACATAGCTCATTAACAATCTGGATATGGTTTGTTTATAACTAAAATTTATAGTGTCAATATTTGGCAAAACAAATTGCATACTCGTTTAAATTATAAATTTATTTTCATGAATTCCTAATCTTACAAAACTACTTATTGCTCAATAAAATATGCACATAACTACATATGTAGGTATGTAGAAACAACCTCTGTGAAAACCAACAATACCGACGATTATGTACTAAAAAATTTGACTGTGTATGCGAAGAATACTTTTTACTAAGGGCCGAAATGATGTAGCGGGTTATAGCGGGAACTTTCACAGAGCTTAATTTAAATACGAACGTAACTGTATTACTTGGTAGGGCATTACAAGGTAACGCAAATAAAAATGGCATTTTTGTGGTAATAAAATAAATACTTAGCAAACAAAAAGTACTTAGCAAATTAATATTCAACAAACCAAAGTTAAAGATTTCGTTATTAATTTTATAGGTGGATTTTTGAATACATAAATTTTTTTGGCAACACTATTTTTTTCATTCAAAATTAGTAAAATATGTGATTAAAATTTTTTTTGTAAAAAAAAAAAAAACAAAAACAAAAGAAAAAGAAAAAAAGCAAAATTAAGTGAAAGAGGTAAAACATACTCTTGAACAAAACAAAAAAAACGCAACAATAGGTTTTGAATTTGGGTAAAAGTTCAATACAGTTATAAGTAGAAGAGTATTAGCGCGTAAAATTTAAATTTTAGCTGTAGTATAGAGGGTACATAAATATTTGTGACAAAAAATTTAGACCATCAAATTGCCACATACACACACGCACACACACACAACAGCTGCTGACCAAAACTGACAGACTTATATTAGCCTCGATTTTGAGCGTGTGCATGTGTGCGTGTACACTAGCAAATACTTTGAATTAATGATAAAATAAACATATGTATGTATGTATTTTACAAAACAATTTTTTTAAGGTAACAAAAAATTTTACCAAACAATTTATATGTATGTATGTTTGTAGTACATTCATTGTGTGTATGTCAGTAATTAAGTACATATGTATGTATGTAAGTATATTGATCAATGTATGAATGACAAGTTTGTAAATGTCTACTTACGTGAGGATTTCGCCGTAAATGTTAAGCCATCATCCCAATCATCGCCACTCACAACTGTCACCTCGTTCAGTTTGCCCAGATTTTCTTCTCCTGATTCATTGAGAACATCATTAGTATAATCTTTTTTTGACATGAATTATTATACATATATATGATTTTATGTGGTTTAATGTATATGTGTGTTTTTATGCCAAAGGGAATAAGTTAGATAAGAGAAAAAAAAGAATCCGAAAAAATCCGCCAATGTTTGTGCAAGCAATAGAAAAGTAAATGCAAGAATAGAAAATTGTCGCCAATATGTTGTGGTTAGGTTATATAATTAGGAAAATAGCCAATTAACTATGCTAATAACGTTTTTGAAATTTTAATAAAAAATACACAAAATAATAATTTTAAAATTATTCGGGTAGGGAAAAACTACTGATGATAAGAATCTTATTTAGCCTGTTCGATAAGTTTTACTATAATGACAACTATCCAGCAAGAATAATGAACGATTTTCTCTCAAACAAGTAAAGATCAGTGCTCGACGTTCTGATCATTTTGGTATACTTTTTCATGGGCCTATCTCTTCTTCTTTTGGTACTTACCAAAATCGTACTAAAGTTATTTTTCATGTTTATGAAAGGTATGCACATATAAAAATATGCGAACACAAAGTCAACTATCAAATTCCGAAGCCTGATAATTTTTTATAATTACACCGAACAGACTTGTTATAAATATTATATTAATTATTTAACATAATTAATGGTAAATACCCTTCCAAAATATAATCAATATAGCCTTGAATTTATAGGTACTTTTGAAAATAAGAAAGCAATTTTTCAATACTTAGATTTGAAATGATGTTAGGCTGCAGAGCTAAAGTGGACTACTTAAATACTTTTTTTCATCTGTGTGATCCTGTGCTTTTTCATATGTATGTATGTAACTACAAAAAGATGTAGTATGTACATATGTTGTATGCATGTACCATACGTATGTTTATCGCTAGCTTAGAAAAAAAGCTGCTAAGTCGATTTTTACAAGTTTCACAGAAGATCAAAAACACTTCTTAAAGTAATTTCCTTTAAGTATTTTGTAAAATAATAAATAAATAAAGTCAAAGGGTCAAAGAGCAGCGATGGTACTTTCAGGGATAGTAGTCCACAGTTCTAGCTTTAATTTAAGGCTAACAAATCTAGAATAATTGAAAAAGGTTTTAAAATCCTCTAGCTTTTGTGGAAAAAATTGGCAAACTTATTTTTTGCGCCTGTCGGATACAACAACCAAAAAGGAAAAATTAAAAATAAAAATTTGGAGTTTTTTTTTATTGAATTTAACTCCTTCTTGACTAAATAAAAATTATAGTTTAAAAAACTAAAAAATCGCCTTGTACTAATTTCCCTTCGTACTGTCATCAGGTAAGTATGTAACTTGAGAATGGAAATCGCTGCATCTTTTAGGCGCATCAATATTACATAGTTACATCCCAAGCTAATAAAAGGGAGTTAAAAATGAAATCCTACTTGTTGATCGGGAAGTAACCTTGAATATTGGTTTCAATTCTTTTACCTATTTTTCCTCGAAATATATGTGCTTACCTTTAATTAAAAAAAAAATCACCCAAAAAGGTTAATCCAAAGAGGAAATATTTGATTTTGTCCACAGCGCCTCGATTTAGCCCACTGTGCACCGTTTGAGATTAATAATAATAATAATAATAGATTGGCGCTTACACATATGTTAGTGTTTGGCCAAGCTTCTCCTCCGATTTGTGGCGTGCACCTTGATGTTGTCACACAAAGCGGAGGGACCTACAGTTTTACGCCGACTCCGAACGGCGATTGTATTTTTATGAGAAGCTGTTTTTCATGGCAGAAATACACTCGGAGGTTTGCCATTGCCTGCCGAGGGACGACCGCTGTTAAGAAAAAACCTTTTTTTCTATATTTTTGCGATGTTGCTTTGACCAGGGTTTGAACCCAGGCATTATGGAGTGGAAGCGCGCACTGCTTACCACTACACCACAGCGGCCGACGTTTGAGATTAAGCAAGGTTTTAAAAAGACAATTAATTCTAATGGGACTGATTTAATCTGTGATGATGGAAAGCATAATAAAACCTGGCAATCTAAGGGCCAATTACAAATGACTATTTAAACGACACTAAGGTTTAATTGTGGATTGTAATTTAAATACAATTTAACTTTCGTTTAGTTTCAGATCAACTTAATTTAAATATGTCAAAAAGTGGCAAAACACTGTTGCTTGCTTCTTGAAATTGTTGTTGCATTTGCTTGTTTGTTTATATTTTGTACGGAACAACGGAACAGCTGATTGTCCTTTGGCAAGATTGATAAAACAACGTGGACCTAAATCAGGTACATATTTTTGACTGAAAAAGCGAGGGCGAAAATTGTTTAAATGTGGTATGTAGTACTGTGGGTGCCGTTTTTTACTCTTGTCTGTTGTTTAGTTTTAACAAAAAATAAAAACAGGGTGATGTGAACCGAAAATTTGCTATTTAGCAGTTAAAAAAAAAAATATTTTGTTTGTGGCTAATTCGTAAATTTTTTGTAGCACCTTAACTACTTAACTATTTTTCTGGCTGTAGCTTAAGATATTTTATGAAATTTTTTCTACATTTTCAAACAGAAATTAATCTTAAGGAATAGTTACGACCTATATCATTATTCCACTACACTCAAAGATTTAAATTTACTTGGAAATCATTTAGAAAAAAACGTTAGTAATTTACTTGTTAGCACATTTACCTATTTCTAATCTACGATATTTGTTAAGTGAATTGTGATTATGTTTTCTGATTAGAATTTTGCGAAATTGATGTTTCGTTTTGTTCGTACCATGCGAGAATTGGTTCGTTGTCCCGTTCTTTTGGAAGTCGTGGAATGAGACATGATTTTGTTTAACACCATCTTGTTGCTGTAAAATAAACAAAAATATCCTTATTAGATTATTTGCATAAATGCATTTACAAAGTTGCACTCTCACAAAGGTGCAACTAACTGCCTACCTTATTACTGGCACGTTTGCTGCGCTTGTGATGTTTCCGATCGTTGAACATGCGTCGGAAATTCATTTGCATTTTGTAATTCACCTGCAAAGTGTTTGAATATAAAAAAAAATCAAATGCAAATTAGTTTCAAAAATTACACAATAACGTACAAGTACAATACTTTCCAAGCGAATGCATTTTATTGCAACGCTTGTAAACTACATATATACGTATAATACACACAAATATGTACATTTCATTTATAAATATTAGATATAATTCGACATCTTGTACAAACACTACATTGATATTTCTTATGCAGCAGTGCGAGTTAACATTTCAGAGATTTGTCAATTATTTAACTAGTACTTTGAAAAGTTTCGGTAGTCCCTTACGAAGTTGTGTAGTACTTGTTTTATTTTTGTTTTTTTTTTTGGGGGGGTTTCTTGACTTACCTGCGTAGACAAATCTCTGTCATCTACTGCGTGTCGGCTATAACTAAGGCGGCGGTGCTGTAAAAATAAAATGCAATTCACAAGGTATTAACGACAAGGTTTTAGGTTTTTGTTTTCAGTTTTAGGTATTTTTGCATTGTTGGAAAACACTAGGCTTACAAACATAAAGAATTTAATAATATATTATGACTTGCAACAACTAAGCCTCAGTTTTGAGAAAGTAATTAATAACAATTTAAGAATATTATTTAAGACATTAAAGGTATTAAAGAACTATTACAAAATGAATAGATCAGCCTGCTTGTGAGTTAATTTGTTTTGAGAAAGTTTTTAAAAGTCCAATATTTTCTCACAATATCAATGATTTCAGAAAAAGGGTCCGAAGAAGAACAAACTGAAATCAGATACACAATAAGTTAATTAACAATTGAATAAGCAACGCAGAGTTTTTAAGAGTGAGGAGTGCAATTGTATAGCGACGGCTTATGTAAATATCAAAATTTTAACAAAACTAAATACGTTGATTAAATTTTTTATAAACCAATAATTTCAAGTAAAGAGTTCTTAGGAATAACCACCAAATACTATATAACTTTTCTTGTAAAAGAACTTTCTTTTACTTAAATGAAAAATCTTAAACAGCGCGGACATACCGCAGTTCTATTCGTTCTGTGGCTTTTAAAAATCTCTAAGTAGTAACTTCAAATGCAAAAGTAATCCGGTCAACAATCAGCTGACATATTCTATATCTTCTTCAATTTCACAATCTCAAAACGGGTTTTCTAAAGGAAAATCTACTAGCACTAATTTATTGGAGTTTACAACTTATGTCTCAAACGGTTTTAGAGAAAATGCTCATACCGACTTAATATACACCAATTTCAGTAAAGCTTTTGACAAATTATGTCACTCGCTACTCATCCGTAAACTCGACCTAATCGGCTTTCAGCCCAGTTTTCTTCAATGGATCTCTTCTTACCTCTCTGATAGAACACAAAGAGTTATTGTTAATAATTGTTCTTCCAACATCATTAAAGTTTCTTCAGGAGTTCGTCAGGGAAGCCACCTTGGTCCGATTCTGTTCCTGATATTCATTAATGATATCTCTTCTATAATAAAACATTCTAAAATTTGTATGTATGCCGATGATGTGAAACTTTTTAAAACATTGTCCTCTAACGAAGAAAGACCTTTGTTACAAGCGGATCTGAGCAACGTGGTAAGTTTGTGTCGAGTGTCAAGACCCTTTCGACCTCCATTTTTGAAGCCATGCAAAACTAATTTTGAACTGAACGAATTATTCCGTGGTTTATGTCAAGATTTTAACTCTCACTCCAGCACGTTTGACATATCGGACTCGATTTTTACTAAATATAAAGAAAACTATTATTTCCACTCTCAATAATTGAAGTACTATCTTTAGCATATCCAATCCGCTGATGAATTTGATTCTGTAGCTGAATTGTTTTAGATCTCGACACTTAACAAACTCCTGTTTCCACTACTCGGCACCAAAATTAAAAAAAAAATAAAAATCCGTACGTCATGCGGACTGCGCCCCTCGTGTCGGTTGGGCGGAAATGGGGGGTAAAAAGCCGTTGGGATTAATTAATTAATTAATTAATTTAAACAGCTATCTGATAAAATCCTACTTTAAAATTTTGAGCAAGTTACATAACACGGGCCAACACTAATTTTGGTGCTGCAAATGTTAAAGCTGTTTTTGATACACCACTATTTTATGCTGATTGCTAATCCGTAAGTAAAAAGTTTTCGTCAGGTCTAGGTTTTTAGAAAAATGTGGTCAAAGTGTAAAAAATTTGACTTTTTTGCAATATTTGAGAAGCTCTAGCAAAGAAATAAAAGGTAATAGATGATGGTCACTTATAGTAATTTTTCCTTACTAATATTATAAATCTGAAGGTAAGTTTATTTCACGCTTTAATTATTGAACCGGTCATCAGGAAATTTTGTACACTAGTGTCATTTAGCTCAAATTAAAATATAGATAGATGTAGATATAGATATATAGATTTAATCTCGATCAGACGAGGGGCATGACATCTCCCATACAAACGGAATCTTTCATACTGCATATCTCAGGAAAAGTTTGTGATAGAGTACAGGAACTTGGTATTAAGAGATATATTTACATTATAAATTCCATGCTCATGGACAACTGTTAAAAACTCAAATTTAACTTGAATTAAAGGAATTATTTTTTTTTTTAATTATATTAAAAAATTAGATGTCAAGAAGCTTAAAAAACTTGTAGTTTGAAAATATTTTTAAAAGGATTACCATTGGATTTGATAACCAAATTGAATTAATTATTCGCAAGCTATCTGAAAACTCAACTGAAAGTCAAACGAAAGATTGTTAAGAAAACTTAAGATTAAACATTTGAAATATTATTGAGGTGTTTTACAAGGGTTGCCACCTGTTTTAAAATTAACTTCAATTAATTTAAATGAATTACAAAAATAATATCAAGCGAAATGTTTTTGCAACGGGTTATAGTTTTTAGCTACATTTAGGAGGGTTGCTACCTGTTTGAAAAATCAAGTGTTCGTAATCGGAATATCGATTATATCGAATAGCATTTTGATTAAAATTTAAATTCATACCATTCCTTATTAAAATAAATTTATTAATTTCATTGGTGAGAAAAGTGCATATTAAAGCGAGAATGTTTTTGTGGTGAAAAATTCTAAGTGCTTTTTGTAGTGTGTTAATATGTATGAATGCAAGCGATAACAATAATGGTCATGATTCAGGATATTTTTTTACTCAGACACCGTGTTGAAGATCTATCGCAAATGGGATGATACATTGAACTCACTGACCATTAGTTTATTAACCGACTTCCAAAAATGGAGGAGGTTATCAGTTCGTCGGAATATTTTTTCTTTTTTTTATGTATGTTACCGCATAACTTTGGACCACGTCAACCGATTTCGATAATTCTTTTTGCATCGGAAAGGTAGTGTCTCAGAGGTGGTCCCATACTAATCTGGTTAAGATCCGATCAGCGGATCATGAGATATATATATATATATATTTTTTTATATGAGAGTTGAAGTCGGTTTTTTTTTGCTAAAAATTACTTGTATATAACAAGAACCACTGAAATCTTTACGCTAAATTCGTCGCCTATGTAACTATTCTAAGTAAGGACAGAAGTAAAGCTTTCTCTATATTCACCTATCGAAATTTAGGTTTTGAAACTGTTATTGTAACTTCATAACGGTGTCAATGTTTGTGGTAAATTTTCTAATTTTTGTAAGGAACAATTTATTTTGTACATAAGTAAATATTTTTTCTAGCCTGACAAAATCATCGGCTGTAAACAGCTGCGACATTGACGATTCCGTGTGATATTTTGCACCATCAAGTGAATATATATTAAGACACTCACCAAAGAGATAGTACTCTCACTCTTTAGCCGGTGAAATCAACTCGACAGGCCTGGTATCCAAATGAGTCTGATTGTGGAAAATCGTAGTAGATATTTACCTCCTTTGCCGAAGTCTTGCAGTTGTAGACATTCAACTACTTCCTAAATGAAACATTCTTTTTCATATCGGACACCAAATTTGGTGTCACACTTTCGATTGGCTTAAATGTTTTTTTTTTGGGTTCTATACATGAAATATGCTAACACGTGTTCCAGGAATTTTTTCTTCTTTTTTGTTCTTCGGTGATATGATCTGTCAAAGTTTGCATTTTTACGTGATTCTGACTAATCATGTACTTCTTCAAATCGTTATATCTCGGGTTCTGCTCATCGCAGAGACTTCATCGTTTTAAAAAAACGGGGTTAACATTTCTATATATTTTTCATGATCCAATGATCGGACCAAATTAGTATGGGACCACCTCTGAGACACTACCTTTCCGCTACAAAAAGAATTATTCAAGTCGGTTGACGTGGTGCAAAGTTATGCGGTAACATACATAAAAAAAAAAAAAAAAAAATATTCCGACGAACTGATAACCTCCTCCTTTTTTTGAAGTCGGTTAAAAAATGAAGAAAAAAATTCCCCGAACACGTTTTGGCATATTTCATGTATAGAACCCACAAAAAAAATTTGAAGCGAATCGGAGACATGACATAATTTTTTTTACGAAATCCGTCCGACTTAAAAAAGAATGGCTCAAATGCAAGCTCTACCTGTACAGGGATCTGGCGGAAGCCTAAATTAAAGGCTAATGAATAGTGCTCTGCATGAAAGAACCATCCACTGACCTTTCCGTCAAGCTTCGATCCATTCGTGTAGAAATTCATCGGTGGCGCCTTGCAACTACAGCTTCTTGTTCACTCATTCCTAAAAGGAATGTGAGTCGCGCAATTGTCGCATAAAGTGGAAGCTTCAGAAGTAAATATTTTAACACTTTTTATTTAAATACTTATTTTAAGTAAAAACTTAGAAAAAACTTAGAAGCTAAACAGGATTCTTGCGGCTAAACCCTGATAAAAAGGTAAATCTAGTCGGAAAAGGGCGAAAATGGCAACACTGTTTGTGAGGATGCGGTCTGAATACCATGGATTTCACTCTTAAACCAGCCTTGAGCTTTTAGGGACTAACATCACTTGCCGCCGAAACTTCGTTACTGGCACAAACCATTTTTCGCTAAACTAGATTACTTACCAGATATTTATGATACAAGTATTATACTCATAGATGGCAACCTCCTCAACCTAATCTAACCTATCTAATCGATTTTAACTCTAAAATTTTTCTAACTAAGAGCGTTTATATTTAAAATCTAAAATTTCAACCTTCGCAACAAAATTACAAAAAAAAAAATAAAATTATGACCATTAGTGATAAAGACTTGTGAAAGCAGAAAACTAGCACACAAACACAAATTTTTACATGTGAAATAAAATTTTTTTTGCTACATAAAAATTATTTTAATAAATAAATAAATACATTTAACACAATTAAAAGAATGGCGTGAGAAAAAAATACTTATTTTTTATATTATTAGCACTTCATCAATTATAGACATCAAATTTAACATCTTTACTGATTATTTAAAAATTCTAACAAGTAATATTTGTTTATAGACTACGTATGTAGAACAAATTTATTGTTAATATTATTTTTAGTTTTATATTTAGAATGAAGTTTGACACAACAATTAAGAAACAACAGCGGAAATAGCAATAAGTAAATAGTAAGAGGATGCAATTTTCTTATCGTAAGTAAATAAAATAACCAATTTTTGCCGTACCATTTGCATTGAAGCCTGCTTATTAGTGAGTTTTTGTTTTCGTTTTTTAATAGATTAGCATTGACGAAAGGTTTTTGGATTTTCAACAGTTTGTTTTGGAATTCGCGTCGCGTTTTGTTTTTCAAGTAAAATATATAACATTTGTTATTTAAAAAAAATGTCGCGCATAGCGTTACGTCGAACATACATAAAAAGGGAAAGAAAATTTGCGTTTCATTAAATAAATTTTAGCATATTTTACTAAAGATTGATGCTTAAGTTTTGGAAAAGGGATAGCATAGAGGTATATATGTAAATATAGGTATGTAAAAAACTATGAAAAATAAGGCAAATAATAAATAAATGAAAAAGTTATGTTTTACATAGAAAGGTTGGAAAAAGGGCGCGGAAAAAGTGGGTTCAAAACGAGAATATAACGCACTTTATAAGCAAAATTTACATAAACAAATATAAATTATAGTTTGGGTGTATTTCGAACTAATTATTTTGTATAAAGTTACTCTACAAAGATGAATTCAAAATCAAATTTAATTAAATAAAATCTAACTAATACAAACCCTTCGATACGGTTTCAGCTCCTCGGCAAGTAGATGATGTATTTTTGCATCTGTCAGATCTTTTTTCGACGGATTATAATCCAACTCATGCATATCGAGATTGCGTGAGCAACTATTGTCCAGATTCGTAAGGCTTGGACTATAGAGAAATAAAGAGTTGAAAAATATATAAATATATTCATTAAATTTTTCTGTTGCATTAAAGCGCAAATTATAGTAGATATTTGACGTTTTTGCAAAGCATGAATGTGTGTATAAATTTAGTGTATATTTTTTAAATAAGATAAATAATTTAAGCAAACAGTGCGTATTAGGCCGACTCATGAAAAAAAGTTTGCGTTGAAATGTTGCGTCGCGAGAATAATTTGATATTTTAGTCACAATCAAGTTTTCTTCTTCCGGTTTTAGAGTGTGTTCTACACTGAAGATGAAAACTGAAGCAATAATACAAAAAAAAATACAAACAAATTGTGGCAATCTACTAAACTATACATACATATAAAAGAAGGGAGGTTTAGGGCCACGAAAATAAAAAAAGTTTTTTTTTTGGATAGCGACTCACTGAAGTGTTGACAAAAATTTTAGGTTTTCTGTAAGCATACTTTTCAGGCTAAATTGAACTAAATGTCAAGAAATGTAAAGAAAAAAAGATAGCAGAACATAAAAATTTTTCAAAATATGGCGGAGCCATTCAAATTCTTATGAGGACTTCATTCGGAAGTAGACGAAAATTTTATTAAAAATGTCATCAGTTTGAAGAAATTGACAGGGTTTTTAGAAGTATTGATGCAGATCCCTAAGGTTTACAGTTATGTATCACCAAAGGTATTTGTCGTAAAACAGGATTTTTCTCAAAATCTTGAGACGAAAAACTCGATTTTTATTTTTTATTTTTTTTTGAATTTCCAACACAGTCCATCTGACTAAAACACAAAATTCAGTTAAAATATTTTTGCGAAGTCTATAAAAAGGATAACATTTTATGTCTTTTTTTCGTGAGGCACTTTAATACACATATTGAAAAATTTCATCATGCTTTGCAAAAAAATAAATTATTATGAGATGATTTCTACATGAATAACACTACATAGATACAATATGTTAGTGTAAGTGAAAGTATAGGTTAAGTGCTGTAATTAAAGTTGTTTTTTTATACAACATTTTATTTAAAAAAAACATAATAAAGTAAACGAATTTTAGTTACGGTGCATTTTTTAAGAAACATTTTAGTGTTTGAGGTACATATATATTTATTGTCAAACTCTAAGTTACGTATAAAGCGAATTGTGAAACGGAAAGACTTATTAAACAGTTAGGATTTATGGCTATATATAAAACGGTTTCACGCTGCATGTTTTTTCGGGTTTATTAAAATTTTGGCAAATTTTTGGTATCTATTTAAAGAGGATCTAAGGGAAGATTTTTGTTCAACAATTTAACGTTTAAAACAAAGTAAATGGAAATAAAGAATTTTTAACAATATTTGCATTTTTGGTTAACACAGGGAACGTAAGGGTTATGATCGTTATAATAGAAGTCATAATTTAACCGTTAAATTGGATTTTTATTTTTTTCAATCAAGAATAATTCTCATTTTTACATTTTTATTTTTTCGATCAAGAATAATCCTTATTTTTCGATACTTTTTTATCTTTAATTTCTAATTTTTGTTTTTTCGATCATATGTATTGGAACCGTTGATTCTAGATTTAATTTTTCAGATCATAAAAAAACTAAATCGGTCTTAAAAACCCAGTCTCGATTATCTATAACACTTTAAATAATCGAAAAAATAAAAATCCAAATTTGATGCTTATACTTGATCCAAATAATAAAAATCAAAAAATAACGATTTCACAATGATCTGAAAATTAAAATTTTGATATTTAATAGTTATTTTATGGTTTAAAGTTTGAAATTTTTATGGCTTTGCCAATGGCGTGAAGAATATTTTAATGCAAAATTAACAAAAGAATTTTAAGTGAAAAAGAAAAAAATATTTTTAAAAATCCTAAATTATAATACAAATCACTTTAAATAAAGTAATAATCAATTAAAATTTATGACTCGGCGCACGCTTGTTTTGTTAATATTACATTTGAATACTTACATTTTTGCTCAATACACAACTGGTACTCATACACAACAATACTCTGCATACCTAAGTACTATTCAATTATTTTGGCAGCGCAGACAGTGTAACATGCTAGCTAACAGTAAAGTCACTACAAAAAATTTAATACTAAAAACTCAATAAAATTACCAACTACTGGAAGTTTTTACAAAACCCAAAACGAACAAAAAAAAACATAACAATCTGTAAGCAAATGAAAATTGTTTAAATTTAAACCATCTCACAAAGTCATAGTACATTTTTGTTTGCTTTTTCGCATTTACGAAAGTTTTACGAGTATGTACATGCACATTTTCCATATTATTTGGTTTCTCATATTTAGAATTGTTCCAAAATTCGTTTACCATGTTGTGTAAATAGTTGGTGGTGCCCACCTTCCACCAATACAATTACTGGTGTAATTTCTGAAGAGAGCACTCATCGATTCGGTGGCCGTTATTTGTCCGATGGTCGAGGGATTGCGGCGCATCACTTCCATAGCATCACGCATTGTAAGTTTCGAATAGGTTTCTATGATTTTCGGTTCAGCACCCTAAAAAAAAATTAAAAAAATAAAAATAGTGCTAATGCTAGTGTATATCCACCGAAAATAGTTTTTGTAGCGTCATTACCTTTAAATCTCTTATCACAAGCGGCCTGATGAAGCGGTTGTCGAAACGTTTGAACTTATCCCGCACATTGTAGTTGCCAGTCTTGCCAATTATATCTTCAATACCAGCCATCAAGTGGTCTATAAACTGAAAATTTGTTGGAATAAATAGTGGAAAAAATTATGCAACTTGAACTTTTATATATTCCAGTACGCCCAAATGCCATAAAAAAAACTATAAGTACACATGAACAGATAAATTTAGCTGTTATGGTTTTTACTTGAGTCTTTTATTTTGGTATTCTCGAGACCAATTTAGTTTAACTATTTTTATACATATGGTTTTTGGTCCGCGCCTTTACGCATTTTTAGGTTTTCTCTCTAACGTCAGGATTTTTTAAAGGACTTTTAAATTTGAAAAATATGATTATTTCAAAAAATTATTTTAAAAATTCCGTGCAGTGCAGTATGGGTATCGAATTAAAGGGAAAGTTCTGTAGAATTAAAGCGGATTAATTTTGTTTGGGCAAAATGCGCATCTTTGAATTTTGCAATAATTATTCTTGAAAAAAAATTATATGTTAAGGACTAATATACACTCGACCATATCCTCGAATTTCGCCTGTCTAACCTGATTAGCTTAAAAAAATAAAACTAATTAAAAAGACATTTTTAATACCTATTCGTCTTGTGATCCAAACAATTGTATTTTATTTTTTAATTCTACAGTATTTTCTCTTTCATATGGTACCAATATTGTTATTATACTATATTGCACTGCATTGTTGTAATTATTCATATCCTTGAAACTACAAAGTCCTTTGAAAAAAATTCTTACGTCAGAGAGAAAAACTGAAAACGCAGTTTTATCGAATTTGACCCACTGTTTAGTGCGCATATTGATTGTTTCGTTTGTTTCGAAATTTGTTCGTTTTTTTGTCGCAGGGTGCAATTGAATCGATGAGATCGACAACCGAACATGTCCAAAATCAGCGTTCCGAGATAATCAATAAAAACCTTTTAACTTTGAATGTATTGGACATAACGAAAGATGGGTCCAGACTTTTTTTTTTGTAGAACGTTCAATTCTTACTATCTTCATGTATGTATGTATGTATGTATGTATAAATATTAGAATGGTTTTCGGTGAAAAAAAATAAAAATTGCCAAAATGGAATTTTAGTTTCTGAAATCATGGTCATCTTTTACTAATTGTACACACTAGTTTTTACACTAGATTCGTTCGTTTTGGCAAGAAGAACATTTCCATCCTTTAATTTTAACATTTTGAAGTATCTAAAGTTATTAAAATTTAAAAAATCGTAAAATTTCAAAAATTGCAAAATAGCTGCGACAGATATCCTGCATGCTGCAATATTTTTTTTAAATTTCGTTTTAAACTCTTGAAACCTCACAGATATGTTGTGTTTGATGCCGACTTCTATTGCCTCTAATATGAACATTCTATTTGAAGACACTCAAAAGTTATTAAACAAAAACAATGAAAAAATTAGTTATTTTTTTATTGTGCACATTTGTTTCTGAAATTCCAATGATTGCTATAAATGCTTTAGCGTTTTTTTTTTCTGTCGAGAGAAAGGAGTGACACTAAAAAAAAAGTAAGTACGCCTGGGCCACACTGGAGAAGTGAAACTTACGTTACATATCTATTTTGCCTCATAACCAGGGAACGGATTTTATGGAAATTGCCTTTTTTTCTGCTAAAGAGATAGAGTATATTCGATTAAGAATGTCCACGATTTAGCTTTCCCCGATTCCATATATACACATTAGATGTTGCCTTTTTTTGCCTTTTTTTAAGATATTTGCATTTTTTGCCTTTTTTAAGATATTTACTCTTTTTTTGCCTTTTCTACCTTTAAAAAAGTGATTATAGCATTTACAATTTTTTTTTAAGAATAAAAAATATACACATGCCCATGCGGCTTATAGAGGCACAGGAACCTCTTGCCAAATTGGTGTTGGAAAAATTCAAAGCCGTTTTCTCAGCTAACGTAGGCTTGGAGACAACAAGGGGTGTGGAGAAAATTGTACGGGCCGAGGAAAACGCCCTTATTCCTGATAATGGGAACGTTTCAAATGTTCCATATTTAAATTGGGCTCCACTTGTATCAATTTACGTCGAGCGCACATTTAGTGCATTCTAGGCTTTTCTTCGCAAAAATCGAATGAAAATGCTGCCAGAAAACTTCAAAATGCATCTTGTGGTTCAATGTTACTACAACTATACAGATTAAAGTTTTATGAGTTAGAAACTCGAAAGGATAAAACAGTCAAAGATTCAAAGTACAATATTTCATATAATGAAACTAGTTCATAGTTTTTCTCTTTTTACTTGTAATATAAACATTTCTAAAATAAATCTATTTTTTGATTGTTCTTCGTATTTTCTGTCTTTTTTAGTGCCTTATTTGCTTTTTTTGCAATACCTAGTGACTTTTCCTGCCCTTTTCGCTATTTTGATTTGCTTTTTTTTGCCGTTTTTGCAATACCTAGTGCCTTTTCCTGCCTTTTTCGCTATTTTATTTTGCCTTTTCCATCCCATTTCGTTATTTTATTTTGCCTTTTTTATAGGTTTTTAGGTCCTAAAAATCCGTTCCCTGCTCATAACCAATATACATACGTATGTATGTCTATACATCTGATTTTGCTTAAGGTTATATTTTTGGTATTTTTTCTATCTAGATCCCTACCTCAACTCCTGTTCGTTCTAATTACATTTATGTTATTCTGTTTTCCTTTATCTTCATTTTTATCTTTATACTCTATCGATAACAAAATCGATAGTAACATCCAAACAAAAATTTCGATAACAAAACTGATAAAATATCGATAACAAAGTCTAAGACAAATTCGATAAAACTTTTGATAGAAAAACCGATAATAATATTGGTAGCAAAATCTACTAGAAAATCGATAAAAATATCGATAACAAAATCCATAAATAATCCATAAAAAATCAATAACAAAATTGATAAAATATCTATAACAAAATCGATGACAAATTCGACAAAAAATTCGATAGCAAAATCGATAATGGGTAGGTGCAGAAGGCAACCGGTGCTAAAAAGATCAGTGATCGTAATGCGTCTTCTGAACGGCTTGATACATTAGCTGTCAAATTCAACAACACACAACATGTTGTCCCAAATGATCAGGAAAATATTACGATCAACAAGCAACTGTTCTGTTGATCAGAAGTAGAAAACAACGCGTTCAGAAGGTGCAATCGCAACAGTTGCTGAGCTGTTGCGCCTTCCGAACGTGCCCAATAATATTGGTAGCATAATCGATTAGAAAATCGATAACAAAATCGATAAAAATAGCGATAACAAAACTGATAACAGTATCGATAACATTATCGATAACAAAACCAATACCAATATCGATAAAAATATCGATTACAAAATGGATAACAAAATCTATAAAAATATCGATTATTATATCGATAAGTTCCGAAAATATCGATAGCCAAATCGATACCAATATCGATAACAAAATCGATAAAAATTTCGACTATTATATCGTCAAGTACCGAGGATGCCGAAAAACTCTAAAATCCCAAAATACTTCCCATATTGAGTCTCTGTGTCTATCTATATTCTTTTCTCTATAATTACCTCTATTGTAATCTTTATTCCTCTATCTTCATTTTTACTTTTATCGGTATCCCCATCCTCATCCTCATCTTTTTCTTTATATTTATCTTTGATTTTATTTGTATGTTTATCATGTTTTTTTCATCTACATATTCCCCTTCACCTTTGCCCTTATATAAGTAAAGTGTTTAAATTTACTCCTTCATTTTTGCCTTTATCTTTACGAATCTTTGTTTTTGTTTTTAACTTTACCTTTGCCTTTATCCTTTTCTTTTTCTATGTATGTACTCACCTCTGCTTTCATTCTTGTATTGGTTTTTTTTTCGAGGTGTTATTCTTTAACCTTTTATTAGCAAGTTTTTATTAAATTAATATCATGTGCATACACTCATGAGGCACTTGTTTCAGCCCAACCATTTCCGTTGCACAATTTCCATGTGCAATTTCCGTTGCACCATTTCTGTGTGCAATTTCCGTTGAATTGCCAATTTACTCCCAACCAACTAACCGCCGCTAAAAAAGTTTTACTTCAAAAAAAAAAACTCGTGAGATTTGCTCATATACTCGTACATGGCGTTTAAGTAACATTTTCCATGTTAAAGTTTAAAATGAAAACATCTTAGGAAAACGACCTGTTCTAGAAAAATAGTGTACAGATCCGCAATCTATCTGAATGTAGTATTGAGCTTAAGTTCTAAGCAAATGCATTCATAATTATCAGCTTGAACTCCAATTAAAACTTACCCGCTCATGTATGCGTTCATTCATTGTTGGCTTTTTCTTGCTTGCACGCTTCACTTTCAACAACTTCACCAGCGGTTTTATCGTTATGCCTTGCAGGAAAACAGTGAAATAAATCACAGCTATTGTGGTTGTTACATACATATCCTTTTGTTTGACGATGCGCTCGTCGACCAACAGCACCAATGCAAAGGCGACCGCACCACGCAAACCGCCATAGGACATAACAAATTGATCGACACGTGACAACTTGTGCAATCGGAAACGATTCGCCAATGCAGATAATATCACAACTCCTATATGCATAAGACCAAAAATGTAGAAAGGGCGGTCGTAGAAGATAATGTATTTGTTATACGTAAGCATGTAAGTATTTACGTAGTATTTTATATAAAACAACATCGAAATGCGTTTGACAGCTCTTACCAAAAACACGATACACCGAACAGAATGTAATAGTCAACAGCACAAAGGCAGTGTTCCACACGTGATTATTATTGACTGTTGCCACACCGAGGAACATGAATATAATTGTTTCCGATGAACTGGATAACATTTTTAGTGCATATTTTATTGTTGTATGCGATTTTTGTGAAATATTCGCTTCAACATAGTTTTTCATTGTAATGCCACAGAAGGTTATGCTGTAAAAAGAGTAATTGAAATGGTTTCAGTTAGAATGGGTTGTTTGCAATTCTTGAAGAAAAGCGAAACGATTTTCACTTACGCTAAAATGCCACTCATGTGAAATATTTCCGCATTAAGATAAGCCAAATATGCCATTACAAAGATGAAGATCGGTTCAATGACACGCACATGATCGGTGAAACGAGTCACTAGACCGGTTAGGAAGCCCCAAATTATGCCTATTAGAATATGTAAGAAACAATTTTTACCAATTTTTGCAACCATAAAAGTCGTGCATAGAATCGTGGTTAATAAATTACCTACTGAAGAACATGGCAGAAGGATCAGCCACACAAATGACATTTCAGTTATCATAATGTCCTAATGTCTATTAGCTCACTGGCAAGCCAGACACTGAGAGTTATCAGTGATTGGGTCACAGAAGTGTGACAGAGCGCTAACGCAGAGAACATTGACTTAGTCTTATTTACTAGGAAATTTCTTAAACCTCTGCAGTTTCACACCCTTAATGAAATTGTACATTTATTTTATCGATTTAAATGAATTAAAATTTTCAAACAGGTGGCAACCCTGCTCAAAAATATGTTCCTCAGTAAGCGATTTTGAACCTCTTTAGTTTGAAATCCATATTGCAATATTTACGTTATCTTATCAATTTACTAAAACTAAAATTTTCAAATAGGTTTGGAGGCGACCCTCTTAACTTTTTTCCTTTTAAACCTTTCGGGTACAAATAAAAAAAAAAATTATTCAAATCGGTCAAGCCTTTTCCTCGTTTTCGCGAGGCTAGCCAATTCATTTGTATATATAACAGGAAATACAAAATTTTTTCTTAGTTTTTTTTTACTGAAAAACGCAAAAATAAATCTGGGATGCTCCATCTTTTGGAGGTATTACCGAGTTCCGGTTTCGCCCGGAAGTGATTTAAACTAACTCGACGTTCATTTCTTTTTAATTACACATACATGTTTTTACTACAGATTCGGGTTCTCTGAGGATGCAGAATACGAATCTGTGATAAAAATATGCATATCCTATTAAAAAACTGAACTTCCGGTCAGTTTAATCCACTTCCGGTCGAAGCCGGAAGCCGCTAATACGACCAATAGATAGAGCATCCCCGATTTGGTAATTTATATTTTTTTCCTTTTTCAATAAAAAACATTTCTCTTTATTTTAGGGGGTGGATGGGTAGTTTAGGACACCCTGTAGAGTGGCGCTTAAACAACAACTTAGTGTTTGGCCGAGCTTCGCCTCCAATTTGTGGCATGCGCCTTGATTTCTTTACACAAAGGGGACTTATAAACTAGATTTATATATGTATTTTCAAAGATCTGATCTTACAATTAAATAGGTCTAAGCAAAAAATGAAATAAATTCTACTTTAAATAAAGGGAACAGGGCCGACCATAGCGTTTAATTTTTTTATGGCATAAAATTTTAATCTGCAATTAATATCTTATAATTCTGCCAGGACTTACTCGGCTTAAAAATATATATTTCTTCAGTAAACCAAATTCAGAAAATTGAAACTCGCTGCAAGACCATTATATTAGGCACGCCCACGCCATCAAATAGAGTTGGCCAGTACTTTACAATACAAACAAAAAAAAAAATCCAGCTGGCGAAAGAGCTGGTTACGACATTTGACGAAAGTCAAGATGAGTCTGCATCTTTCACACCTGAAAATTGATTTAGAACTGAGTTTGTCATTGTTCTAGTTGAAACTGTCCTGGCTGCTGTCAAGGAAAGATTTGAGCATTTGAAAACTCATGAAAATCGATGGATGTTTTTACACGATTTTCTTACTTACAATCGCAAGAGTCTCCAGATTCAATAGAAGAAGACACTTTTTTGCCTCGAAATGTCGGGAGTTGAACACCGCTCGTGCAACTGAAGAGGATTCGGACATAAATGGATTGGAGCTTTATGAGAAGTTAAAACAATTACAGCGTATTAAATCTGCAGCCATCAAACGGCCATTGGAAGTTCTTCAATTTATCGTCAAGAAAAATGTCGATGGCATTTTTCCTGATTTTTGGATTTCCATCAGGATTTGTTGACTTTGCAAGTGACTGTTGCCAGCGGGGAACGAGGTTTTTTCGAAATCGAAGCTCATCAAGAAGTACTACTTAAGATCTTGAAAGAAATTAAAAACACGTGCGAGCTGCTTTACAGTCTTAGAGAGAGAAAGTGTCAAATAATTTATTTAGGATGTCAAAATTAGGTTTCATATACATATGTCTATAGTACAGTGTTGTGTACTGTAAGAATTTTTGTTCTATGTGATTTCTTATTTCAACACCCTCACTTGGTGAATTAACAATTATTTAAAATTCAGAATGATACAAATTTTGTTGCTTATTATGAATAATAAAAAAAAAATGTATTAACAATCGAAATATTTTTCAATTTTGGAATTTCAGCATAATCCACATTGTTTGACGCAAAACTGGTGTTTGCCCCTAGGGACTGCTTTGGTCAAGTTGTCCGCTGCCATTTCTTCAGAAGGATTGTATTTAATTGATACGACACCCTCATTAATCATGTCTCTGATGTGATGGTGCCTAACATCAATATGCTTGGTGCGATTCCTGAATCCCTCCACTTCAGCTAATTCGATTGAGCTCATATTGTCACAATTGATCGGTATGGTGTTGGTAGAACTACGATCGAGTTCATTGACAAATTGTTTTAGCCAAAGTGCTTCTCTTACTGCAGCTGACATCGACAAATATTCTGCTTCAGTTGTCGATAAAGCCTCAGTTGGCTGACGCTTGCTATGCCAAGTCACTGCGGCATTCGATAATTTAAAGATGTATCCGGTACACGACCTTCTCTTGTCAACATCTGAGGCATAATCAGCATCGCAAAAAGCATATATATCTGAGCCGCTTTCTTTGGAATAACGTAACTTCAAATCAGCAGTCCCTTTTAGGTATCGAAAAATTCGCTTTACTACTGTCCAGTGAGCTAAATTGTAAGTACTATTAAAACGACTTACGTCGTTTACAGCGAACGCAATATCTGGTCGTCTGGCTTGTGACAAATATAGCAAGCATCCAACTGCTTCTTGATAGGGTATACGCTTGAGTTCGCTCTCTGTGGAATTTTTGTTCGAACCAAAATCCTTCGAAAGTTTGACATTTGGATCACGCGGAGTGGATATAGGTTTACAATTTTCCATTTGAAAACGTTTAAGTACTTCTTTAATGTACGCAGACTGGTCCAATTCAATATAATCAGCCGTTTGGTTTATTCGAATTCCTACACAATGCGTTACGGGTCCCATGTCTTTCATTTTGAATATTGTACTTAGATCTGACTTAATTTTGTTAAGTGCCAATGAATCGCGCCAAAAAATAAGTATATAAGTATATCATCTACATATATTGCGATAATTACTTCTAGATGATTATTGTAGAAAACACAAGGATCGAGCTTGGATTGGATCAGTCCCAATAACTTCAGTGCTGCAACCAACTTATGATTCCACTGCCTGCCTGCTTGTTTTAAGCCGTACATTGCGCGATTTAACTTTCCTACTCTGTTTGTGCCGTCGCTGAACCCTTCGGGTTGTTCAATGAAAATTTCTTCATCTAAATCGCCTTGAAGAAAGGCGGTAACTGCGTCCATTTGGTCGACTTTTAACCCCTTTTTTATTGCTAGTGCAATTAACAAACGAATGGTCGCGTAGCGAACGACAGGTGAAAAAGTTTCAATATAGTCTAAACCATATATTTGGGCACAGCCCTTGGCCACAAATCGGGCCTTGTAACGCAAAACATTTCCCTGATCGTCACGTTTGGTTTTAAATACCCATTTACCTTTTATGGGTTTGCGATCTCGAGGCAGCTCGATAACGTCCACGTATTGTTTTCTTTGTGCGACTGAATTTCCTCCTCCATAGCTCGTTTCCAGTCAATGTGCTCTTTAGTGTTTAATGCCTCTTTAACTGTTAGTGGATCAGAAGGAAGTTTGTTTGTATAGGCAAAATGTGAAACATACCCTTCAAAGACTTTCTTCTTCGGCTCACGAGACGACTTTCTGGTTGGTTGAATTGAAGGTTCAGCTTTTGGCTCGTAGCCCGGACTCCAATTCTTATCGTTACTCTTTGTAATAGCCGCTCCACGTTGTGCACCATCGTTGTCGGACGGCTCAGCAATATATAGGTCATTTGAAATATTGAGCTTATTATCCCTCACTGAATCTGAACCAATTGAAATAATGTCTCGATCCAACTTACTATCGGGTTGTTGGTTTACATCACATTCACTCGTGCTCAATCTCCTCACTTGATTTGAATCGACAACCGCAGTATCTATGGATACTTCTATTTTCGAAGTTGGCACGCGCTCATGAAAAATTACATCACGGCTAATAGTCAGGTTCTTAGTTTTCGGGTCAATGCAGCGAAAACCTTTTTTATCGCTATCGAAACCCACAAATATAAATTTTTGTGACTTTGCATTCCATTTTGAGCGACGTTGGTTTGGTACATGTACCATAACGGGTGATCCAAAAATTCGTATATTGGAAATGTCTACTTTTACGCCTGACCAAACTTCTTCAGGCGTCTTGTTCACTAATGCCGAGCAAACCGATCGATTGATAATGTAAGCGGCCATTGCACACGCTTCAGCCCAGAACGAATTGTCTAATTCTGCATCGATGATCATGCACCTAGCTCTTTCAACAATGGTGCGATTCATGCTCTCGGCGACACCATTCTGTTGAGGTATGTAAGCATTCGTCACCTGATGCTAAATACCATTCATCTTGAAAAGCCGAATAAATTGCTTGGAACGGTATTCAGTTCCGCAATCTGTGCGTAGTATTTTTATTTTCCGTTCAGCTTGGTTTTCAACGTACGCTTTAAAATCTACGAATGCATCTATAGCTTCTGATTTTTGCTTCAAAAAATACAAGAAAACTTTTCTACTATAATCATCGATGAAGGTGATAAAGTATTTCGCTCCACCGATGGAGGGCGTTTCCATTGGCCCAACCATATCTGAGTGAACAATTTCCAACATGCTTTTCGTTTCAGAGCTGCTCATCTTAAATGATTTTCTCGTTTGTTTTCCTTTAGCGAATACTTCACAATTTACGAGACTAGTTTTGTCGTCAAAGTGCATGCCCGATACGATTCCATTTTTCATTTGTATCAAGCTTTGACAATTTATGTGACCTAACCTACGATGCCAGGTTGTTATTGAATTTTCTATACTTTTGGCTAATAACGATGATCCGGATACCAATTTGTATACCCCATCTTTTGGCTTACAATGTGCATACGGAACCCCTTGTCTATCATAAATTGTGCACCCATTCATGTCAAATACGACTTTGTTGCCTGCTTCTACCATTCGGTAAACAGATAATAAATTTGCAGATAAATCGGGTATATGAAGTACATTGTTTACTTTTACTTCATCTGATTTAAGCTTTAATTTCGTATCACCTACGCACTTTACTGCCATTCTCGCATCGTTAGCAGTAATTATTTCAACTATTGCACAAGGTTTGCAATTACTTAAAAGGTTAATGTTGGGGGTCATATGACTGGATGCTCCGCTATCTACAAACCATTCCCTTACTGGATTTTTCGTGGCAAGGTTCGCCGAAAAAGCTCGTTTTGCTGAGTGGGTCGACTTTTCTTTCGGCTTAACTGGGCAGTCAATTGCCTTATGATTTTTACCCCCACACGAATAACACTTGATGTTACGATTTACCTGTTTTCTTGATGGTTTGTGTTTATTTTTAGATAAAAATGCGCTATCCGATTGCTGCGAAGGTTTAAATTCTAAATCTAGCAGCTTTGCTTTAACTTCATCTGAGGATGGGTTTGATTGTCGGCCTTCGAAACCCATTAACAGTGGCATAAACTGTTCAGGTAGGCCAAGACAGTATATGCCTGCGAGCCAACGATCATCAACTTCCCAACCAACAGAATTTAATTTGTAGTACAAAGATGTTATAGATTCAATATACGATTGCATTGAATCACAATTTTCCAATCGTACCGTCACAAATTTAATCAGCAGGCTTACGGTTCGCAGAAATCCGCGATCTTCAAACAACTGCTTCAATTTCGTCCACATTTCTAATGCGGTCTTGCATGCTCGAATGTGGACATACATAACTTTTTCAACGGGCAGCACTGTCGTTGCATTCGCGGCGCTCAGCTTGTTTTCATCTGTTTCTACGGCCACAGAAGCATCATTCTTCACTGCCTTGATACAGTTCGCAAGACCCTTCGATTCCAACAGATTTTCCATGGCAAAAGCCCAGTCGTGATAGTTATCTGCTCCATTTAGCTTCTCTAAGATGAATTCTTGTTGTGATCTCGCCATTGTGCAATTTCTTTTTGAGTTGACGCAACAAATGCGCTTCGCACCGAATGCTTGTAAAAAGAATTGATTATGGTCAAGAATGCAAAACTAATAAAATTACTTTGATTAATTTTTAACTTTTAAAAGCGAGGTGCCCATAATCTGATAGAAATTAAAAACACGTGCGAGCTGCTTTACAGTTTTAGAGAGAGAAAGTGTCAAATCATTTATTTAAGATGTCAAAATTAGGTTTCATATACATATGTCTATAGTACAGTGTTGTGTAATGTAAGGATTTTTGTTCTATGTGATTTCTTATTTCAACAGATCTGCTATATCCCAAGAAAGAATAAACGCTTTAGCTATGTTATCTATCGAACACGAGATTGCCACTCAGATTAACTTGTCCAAAACCATCTAAAAATTTGCTCTAGCCAAAACACGCAAAGTAATTGTGGTATAAAGCTCAAAAACAATATTGAAATAAATGATAATAAGCCAAAATAATATTGACAAATTTTTTGTAATTCATATTTGAAAATTTTGATTATAATAAAAATTAAGCATTCTTAAATTTCGACTATTTTTCCAATACGTTGACTATACTATAAGAAAAAGAAAACGAGGTGATAAACATTATTTTCAAAGGGCGCCTCGTTCCTTTTACGCCCCGGGCGTCATTGCTGCTCAAGCCGGCCCTGAATGGGAAGGAATAATATTTGAAGTAGTTAAAAAAAAATACTCACCAATAACAGTACCACCAATGGCAACAACAAAGAAGGAACCTACGCCGCTGGCAATATCTTGAGCAATTATCTCAGATATGCCGATTTCGTTGTATACTTCCATCATATGATACATAACGACCTACAATATTAACAAATTTATCAAATTGTTTAAAAAGAAGATGCGGGAATTTTCTTAAATATTGTTTTACAAAAGCTTGTTAGTTTATCTTCTAGAATAATATAAAAAAAAGACCTTGAAATGGAAATGCCATATCTTTGTTTCTTTAAAGATTAATTAAAAAACCTTGAGAAAGTGAGCCCTACATATAATGTTTTAGTGACACTAAATACTAACTTTTTTAATATCACTAAAAATCGTATAGAATTTTCTTTTTCAAGAAATTCGCACCTAAAGAGCTTCCGTTTCCATAAGGTTTTTTTAATTACTCGGTTAATGCCATGTTCTGACCGACAACGAAAACACCTTGAAAACGAGTTTTGGGATTGTAGGCTGAAGGCTGTTCACATCGACTGTTGGTGTCAGAACATGGTATTAATGCCATGTTCGCACCGACATCGCTGAAAACTACTTGAAACTCACGTTCCACTCATTCCAATCAGTGTTTGCACTAGATTTTTTTTTACATTATTTATCGAAGCGGATGTCATATTTTATCATCTTTAATATGCCAGTTCGGATTTATTTTTAATTGGCTGGCCAAATTAAAATAAGAATAAAGAAAAAAATGCTGTTAATGAAAATATAATGAAAGAATAAGATTTTGGATTTGTTTTTTTTTTCAGCAAAATTGTAACCAAAGTTTTTAAGAAATGTCAACGAAAACACTAACAGCCGGTGCGAACAGCCTTCAGCCCACAATCCCAAAACTCGTTTTCAAAGTCGGTCCGTGGTATAAGAAGTGTTAGGTATGCCCAAAATATGTATAATGTCAACCACTTGCAATAACTTTATCCGATTCCTTATTACTTGGATTATTGTTTGACTTAACTCTTCAAAAGTTATATATAGTAGGTACCTATTTCACTTACCGTCACAGCATCGTTTAACAGTGATTCACCAAATACAACAATATATAGTACTTCATTGACATGAATCTCTTCAAAAACTGCCAAAACAGCTACCGGATCAACAGCAGAAATTAAGGCAGCAAACAGGAATGTGTCCAGAAATCGTGGAACTTCAGGACCAAACATGCCAGTCAAACCGCAACCCCAAAGTGAAAGACCTGTAATGAAATATTCCGTTTGTCTAATTAATTTTGTTATTAAGATATGTATCTAGTTAAAAACATAATAAACACATATTTTAAAGGAGCTTTCTAATTGGGCAGACATCTGAAGTATGTTGTATCCCATACATAATGCCATAAGTATATGAGGCCTCTTAAATAAAAAATAATAATTAATTTTTTAATACCATCCGAGCCGAATTGATTCATTAAAAACCGATTATAAGCAGTAGGGATAAATCGATACCATTAAGATATTACTCAAATCAGTACTTTCACTTGTGTCAAACAAGGTATCGATACCTACTCAGTATCGGCAAGGTATCGAGTACTTGTGTAAAGTTATTGAATTTTTTTCACAAAAAATATGTATTTTTAAAAGATCTTTTAAAATTTTTGTATACAAAAATTTAAGACAACAATTATTTATATTTGGTCTCAAAAATAATATAATAAATTTTTACAAGATTAATAGATAAAGTTTTTTCATATAAAATAACTTTTAGAAAAAAACTCCTTTTTTATATTTACCAAAAACATAAAGGCGGTTTCAGGATTTTGATATAGTTGTACCTGTTTTTGAAAAAAGCCTCTCGAAAGCAACAGATGACCCAACAACCGTTGTATATATTTAGACGGGCTTGCTTATATAGCTGCGGAATTGTAGTCTGCATATCTTCCGATTCCTCTAATGGGTTGCTTTTCAAAGAAGATACTGAAGCGCTTCCGATACGAGTACTTTTTTTTCGATACCTCCTTGGGTCGCAGTAAAAAGTATCGAATTCAAAAATACTTTGTAAATTGAGAAAAGTATCGAGTATGTACTTGGATTTACTTGTATCGATTCATTCCTAATAAGCAGTCTTCATTTCAACTTAAAAGACTCATAAGGGCCGTTAACTTTCTATAGATAAGCCATTTGAAAAAGACTTTCGTGGGTGCTGGGTGTAGTTTAAGCCCCTTATAATATAAATAAGGTGACCAGATTTCTGTGGCCGAAAATCGGGACATTTCTGAAGCATTGTATACAAACATAAAATTTTGCTTTTAGAATAAAAAGTCATGACATCTTTTAATATAGTTTTATTTAAAACAAAACAAAGAGAAGTAAACTAGAAAAATGATCGCAAAAATGTATGCACACAGTATATACATATAAATTCGACGAATTTTAACAAATTTTGATAAAAATTTTCAACATTTTGTTCAGATTTTTCCACAATATTTTTGACTATGCAGTTTTGTAGCCCATCAAATATTAGTATAATCAAGTGCAAGTTTGAAGTAGCTTGGACCTACAAAGTATGTTCAAACATTTTTTTGTATGGAAGAAAAGAGCAACACCTTCCACAAAAAAAACAATAACCAACGGTACTTATAATGTTTCTAAGAAATCTAATTGAAAAACTTAAAATTTTGAATAAGTTTGTCGAATTTTGCTAATTTTTGTACAAATTTTGGAATTTGGACTTTACCTTGTCTTTGTTAGATAACGAGCTATACTTTCATAAAGAAATAATAAACATTAAATAATCGAAAGGGGAATAGCCAAAGAATGCTAAAATATTTCTTCCCTATTTATGTTTTCCATGATTTTTTTTAACGAATTAATATCTATTATTTTTTATAATTTCACTAAACTCAAGTAAGAATCGTTTCATTAAAAAATTAACAAACAATTATAAAAACCTTTAAGAAAATTTTACAAGAATGATAGACTGGAATATAGCGATAGTACCAGTTTGACAGAATAAAACATAAGCAAAGATCATAGAAAATAATGATAATTATGGGTCCCTTATATTTACGGTGACCATCCGTTCTGTTTTTTGCAGGACCGTACTGTTATTTAAAGGTCTGTCCTGCATAGTTTTTCAAAACAGAAAACCCCCAAAATGTACTGATTTTTTCCACGTGTCCTGCCTTTGTCCCGCATTTTCTTCGATATTTTAAAATTAACTTTTCCTAATCGAAATAAAAGCAGTGTCGTTAACTAATTGATAACTACATAGGATAAGCGGGTGGATAAGGTTCAACTAGTCAATGCGTTCTACATATTGTACAGTTACGGACAATGGATGACGAGAAATTGAAGACCAGCATCAAATATATCGATAACACTGTTCTACAAATTTTGTGGTAATCGCTTAAGAAAAAAAAAATTCCAAGCCAATTTTCCTTTCAAACAAGCGTTTTCGTCATTTTTTCGAAAAACGTGTTTTTGGTACATTTCGAACCTATTCGTCAATATCTCATGAAAAAATTATCCAATCTACATAAGCTACCTCTTACAAAAATATATTACTTTGCCGATTTCGATGAAAATTATTTTTGTTACAAGCGACCAAAATCGAAAAATTGAAATTTCAATCATTTTCTTTTTACAGTAAATGAAAATCTGATGAGAAATGTAGATGTTACGGAACACAATCTGCACAAAAAATATATATTTTTGCAAAGAGCCCATCAATACCTTTCGAACTGTTGGTCGTTTCATGAGATATTGAGGAATAACTGAAAAAGTACTAAAAATACGTTTTTAGAACAAATCTCGAAAACACTTCTTTGAAACCATGGGTATTTTTTTCGTGTTCAACGACCCAACGACCTGTTTGCCTAAAAAATTTGCTTTACAGAGGTTCATATTTCGTGTAAAGTAATATGTAATATGCCTTATTATAATTTTGTAAATATCATTACTAAAAGATTAATACCAATGAAGCAAATGTGATTTATGTTTAAAGTTTAAAATTGGATTAATAATTAAGAATTATACACTCTTCGTTATTTAAATAGCGCATCCTTTTAATACAGGTACAGTTTTCCTTTTGTTTGTTTAATATTCATTAACTTTTTATAAAAATATAGCATATTCTACGTCTACATCCCATTTTAAAAAGTTTTGTAAATTAAAACAAAAAATAAACATAGGGGCGACATTTTTTTTGACGGTGCTGCGCATTTTCTTCCATATAAAAATTTTGTCAAGCATACTTTGTATGGTAGAAAATCAAAAAAGGGCGCGCTATTCAAATGACCAGGAATGTATATATGTAGTATATTTTTGTTATTTTTATACTACGCAATTATATGTAGGTACATTTTTTGAAAAATTGTCCTGCATTTTCAAAATATATTTATGGTCACCGTACTTATATTCTATGTCCTTTGTGATAACGAAAAAGCTGCCATGTTTGTACGAACAATTATTTTTGACCCAGAGAACAGGAATACAGACTCTTACTAAATTAATAGAGAAAATCGGGACACTTATACGTTCCGACTTTGAAAAAATATTCAGCAGGACAATTTTCTCAAAATCAGTACTGTCCCGCCAAATTCGGTACGAATGGTTACCGTAAATATAATATATTAATAATCTCAGATGTTTGATCCATCTTTAACTACTCATGTACCCCACGTTGCGACGCATCATGCTACGTACGCTTACTACTAACCTGTTTTTTGTTTAATTCGTGATTTCCGAATGTACTTAAATTGCTTTTTATTCATACTTCTGTATCTTTAATTCTTGCGTTAGAAATTTGCGCTCATCCGCTACATAACGAAATGCGTCATTTATGTACGTAAGTGAAATTGTTATGCCCCTTGGGCTGTATTGGAATGATTTTGTGCCATGAACAATGTATCTATGTATGTATGTATTAGGGATGTTGCGAATGTGTAATTTTAGACATCCGAGGATGCGAATGCGGGTGTCAAGTATTTTTAAGAAATAATTTAGGTAAATAATAAAAAATGAAAAATTTAGTAATTTTTAACTAAACTTTTCACATTCCATTTGATTTTTAATTCGCAATCGAATAAAAAAAATATATTAACAACAGCCTTATAAAATAATAGAAATGGGAATCCAATTAAGGACAAATTTATAACGTAAATCTCAGATTTGTATGCAAATTTTAAATGTGGTTGTTATAGAATTATTTATTTTACTTATTAATTTCTAGATTTATTTTACTAATAGTTAAGATAAATTCATTTAACCAAAATAAAACAAAGTTGAACTATCTAATTTACTACTTATTTCGTTGTACTGTGTTTTTACTTTGCATCATTAAGGCCACGAAACATAAAAGCATGAATTTATATATACATTTTTGTTTTTTTTTCGAATATGGCAACATTGATCTTGATTAAGTGAGAAGAATGGAACGAACTGTTCGTCCTCTCATCGCAATTGCAAATAGTAATAGCATGGGCAAAAGACACAACAAAAGTAAAGATAGCTTACCGCTTGGCTCCAACGACGAAAGATCTTTCAGCGGAGTGCCTGGAACTAAATGTGGGACGTAAAGCAAAACACATTTATGTACATGCCTTAGTTATTACTTTTTTTTTACCGTTTGACTTTATGTATTAAAGTAAGATCAATTGCT